CCTTGGACTGCGACTAACCGCGTTCCACCAGCAATTATTGGACCGGTGCAGAGCCATAAGTTTAACCCTACTGCAATCAGCAACAGCGGTCCAACGGTTAGCGGTGGAGCGCGATCAGTAGCAACTGCTTTTGGATTTGGGAAATGTGCGACAAAATGATCGAGGTGTGAACAACTCGCAGGCGGAGAGGCCTGCTCTCAAAATCAAGGCTTCATCAAGAGTTCGCCGTGCACCATCGTTTACGGGTGTACAGTTTCTGGAGCCGTCCTTGACTCTCACTCCTTCTTTTCCTTCACCAGCATACATACTATTTACCATTTGCAGTCAATGTCACTGAATCAGAGTGTGTCAGCGGCGCATGGATATTGTCAAGGCGCCAGCCTGTTTTCCGTAAATCGTTGCTGTCTGCTTTGGACGTTCAATGAGTGGTAGGGAGGGGTGGAGCACCGCGCGAAAATCTACGTGCCATTATCACGCCCGAATGACTTCGGGATAGCGACTGTGCGACCCCTCCTCCTGAAACTCAGACGGGATTTCTACCAAATGTTTGCAAGAGTGGTTTCAACTTCTAAGCACAAAAACATCGGCGCAGTTTGCCGACGGGGGGCATTTTGCACTTTCGTTGCTTCACTAGTTCTGGTTTACAAGTCTCACTCTGGTGAAACCTGTGAACTCTTGTGAAGCTGGAGCAAGCTCGTCAAGCCATCATGGTAAAACCTGTCAACTCGAGAAGAGGCTGTCTAGATGGGTCGACACGTCGATGGGAAGTCGTTAAGTGCAAAATGCCCCGCCGTCGCCAAACAGCGCCCAAATCAACATACGCACAGAAGCGCCCGATGCTAACGCCACAAGCAGCAACACGAGAACGCCTAAGACCTCCAAATTCTCAGAGAACTCGTCTCCCGAGGTGTTGACATTCTGAACGCGACTATTACATCAACTTAGCGCGAGAACGTGCCTAGTACTGTGGCGGCGCACCCAGCAAGAGTGACAGACGTTTTCGTGAACTATACTTTTTCAATACAGTTTCGTGGTAAAGACTACGGTTTCCTGGCGCAGCTAACGATGCCAGTACGGGCACCGTAGAGATGACGAGCTGGGGCGACACCATCGGCGTCAGCTGGGACCGGACCTTTCCTCCAAAATCAGCTCTTTTATGCTCTTTGAAGTACCTCCCTTCTGACCTAACCATTATCACTACGTTTGAACAGCATCCCAAGTCTAGTTTATATCGGGCGATATCAGGAGTGTAATAAGCCTGCTCCCGGCTACCTTTCTTTACCAATGGTGATCAGTTGGAGATCGATTCAGGGAGAAATCAACCAGCAGTGAAAACACCGCCCAACCAGTAGTGAAAGCAGCCGGTTAGGCTCATTCCATGCTTCCTAACACGACCGATTACGAGATATCAACTATTTTACAGTGAATTGAAAAGTCCACTCACCAATCGATCGCTGTTGTCCCGCGATCATGCACATGAAACTCATTCACCGGCTGTGTCGTATAGCGAAGATCCCATTTCTGCACACCTGGCGCCAATGCTAACTGACTGCACATAATCAGCGTAGATGAGTCGTCTGGTTTCCAACAAATATCTGCCCAATCAGCTCCAGTACCGATCTTGAAAAGCAACCTTGCTAAGGGGAGAAAGGTAGTCCTACACGGATAAGAAGATTGCTTGTTTTCGAGTTCATAGACTAGCGGATATTGAGAAGTGAAGAAGAACGATGATGAGGTACACCTTAACACTCGATACCTTACCTCGGCAAATTCTAAAATCGGACCGCCAGGATGTCGCATATCCCACAAACTTCCGCGATACGACGTTAACGATGCGACAATGTTGCTCATAGATCTATTCCATCGTACTCGTTTCACCTGTAGTAATCAGTTACTTTTTGTTGACTGTTTCCTGTTTTACAAAGCTTACTTTTCATTACACAATTTCCTTCTCTGGTAGGACCCCCTTTCCCCGTCCCAGTCGCCATCCTATCTATCACCTTTCTGATTTTTCCCAAGTTCGTATCTTTCTTCTGAAGCTGACTCTTAGAAAATCCCGCTTTTCTCCCCAAAGGAGTGCGGCCGAGGCAGGGGGAGGGGTAGCGCACTTGGAATAGAAAAAAGTTTGAGAACTCAACAACCGAAAACATTTTTCTCAAACTCAAGTACGACCCCTCCCCTCCTCTCCTTCTTCCAAATACAACCTCACCTCTCCCGGATCCCCAAGTGCGACATGACAGCGCTTCCGTTGCGCGTTCGACGCGATCGATCGCATATATTTTCCACTGTGGCGCGCATCTGATTCGACCGACGCAGTCGAAAGCATGAGCGATCGATAGGGTCGAACGCGCGACGCAAGCACTGTCGTAGCGAAGTCTGAACGCCGCCTTAAACGGGAGAAAACCAGAAAATTCTGGTATAAAGAAGTGAATGGCAATCTACCTGCTCAGCAAAATTCGGTGTACCAGGTGAAAACGGTGTTGCAAGATTCGTCAGATCCCATAGCAACAATTGAGCACTACCCGCTGATATTGCCCATCTGTTATCAGATGAATAGTCCACTGATAACACATGACCCTGATGGTCACGACGAGAGGATATCACTGACAATGATGAATCTGAATGAAACAATATTTTTAGCTCTACTCACGTCGAGAAGTGCCGTAGCCTGTAAGAGCCAGAAATCTTCCTACCATTTACTAATTTATGAGCGTCTAAAAACACAACAGTGCCATTTTCGGTTCCACCGAAAATAATACCCGAAGGATGCGATTCCGTTACCAAAGGTGCCCATGAAAGTTCATTGAATCTGAACAAAGATCATGTCATCTACTCAC